TTAAAAAGGAAGAGAAGGAGGAGGAGGAGGAGGAAGAAGAAGAAGAGGAGGAAGAGGAAGAAGAATAGGAGGAGGAGGAGGAGGAGGAGGAGGAGGAGGAGGAAGGCTGTGGGGTCCTTGATGCTCTCTGAGCTTACTTGTTTTCTTGCAGACATTTCACGACCCAACTAGGTAACATCATCAGTGGTAGAAGGGAGTGGGGTTTGTGGAAAGGAGAGAGGAGGAGGAGGAGGAGGGGATGAAGGAGAAGAAAGAAAAGGACAAGGAGGAGAAAGGAAAAGAGGGGAATGAGAAAGACAGGAGGAGGAGAAGGAGGAGAAAGAGAGGATGGAGGAAAGGGGAAAGAGGTAGGGAGCGAATAAGGAGGAGAAAGAGGAGAAGAAAAGAAAAGGACAAGGAAGAAGAGGAAGGAAAAGATTAGGAGGAGAACAAGAAGAAAGAAAAGGAGGAGATGGAGGAGAAGGAGGAAGGGTGGGAGAAGGGAAAGAGACAGGGAAACAGGGCAAACGAGAAGGAGAAAGAGGAGAGGAAGGAGAGGAACGAAAAGAACGAGGAGGAAGAGGAGGAGAAGATATAGAAGAGAAATCTCCAAAAAGATTATATCAGTAGTTCTCATTCTTGGCTCCTTTAAGACGCCTGGACTTCAGCTCCCAGAATCCCCCAGCCACTGGAATTGACGTCCACGCCTCTTAAAGGGGCCACGCCTGAGAAACCCACTCCAGCTGTTCTTTCTCCATTGCACTGAGCAAGGCGTGGAGACAGAGCGAGCCCCCTCCTCTATATCTTGGCCCGATCCAGGCCGGGCCTCCCCTCTGGGGTCTCCACCAGCCCCTTACCCTCTGCAGCGCCAACGTTGCCCGGATCTCCTCCCTGGAGCCCGACGCCTCCTCCTTAAGGCTTCTGGCATCCTCCATTCTCGCCCGCTTGGTTTTCTGCATTTTGGTCTTCTTGCCTTTGGAAGAAAGAGAGGACGGGGTCTTAAACACAATTCTACACCCTATCCTGTCTTTTTCCCCCAACAGCCCTGCGAGGTAGGCCGGGTCTGGGGCTGTGTGCCTCGATCTTGGCTGCTTTAAGAGGTGAGGACTTCAACTCCCAGAATTCCTCAGCCAGTGGGAGTCCGTCCATCTTAAAGCAGGCTGAGTGGAGACTTCTGGGAAATGAAGTCCACATCTCTTAAAAGCAGGCTGCCCTGTAGAATTCTGGGAGTTGAAGTCCTCACCTCTTAAAACAAGGTGGCTGGGGAATTCTGGGAACTAAAGTCTTCCGATCGTAAAGCATACTGTCTGAGGAATACTGACAGTTGAAGTCCTTACTTCTTAAAATATACTGACTGGGGAATTCTGGGAATTGAAGTCCTCACCTCTTAAAGCATACTGGACGGGGAATTCTGGGACTTAAAATCTACCCATTTTAAAGCATGCTGGCTGGAGAATTCTGGGAGCTGAAGTCCTCACCTCTTAAAACAAGGTGGCTGGGGAATTCGGGGAAGTAAAGTCTTCCTATCTTAAAGTATACGGTCTGGGGAATTCTGGGAGTTGAAGTCCTCACCTCTTAAAGCATACTGGCTGGGGAATTCTGGGAACTAAAGTCTTCCTATCTTAAAGTATACGGTCTGGGGGATTCTGGGAGCTGAAGTCCTCACCTCTTAAAACAAGTTGGCTGGGGAATTCTGCGAAGTAAAGTCTTCCTATCTTAAAGTATACGGTCTGGGGGATTCTGGAAGCTGAAGTCCTCACCACTTAAAACAAGGCGGCTGGGGAATTCTGGGAATTAAAGTCTTCCTATCTTAAAGTATACGGTCTGGGGAATTCTGGGAGCTGAAGTCCTCACCACTTAAAACAAGGCGGCTGGGGAATTCTGGGAACTAAAGTCTTCCTATCTTAAAGTATACGGTCTGGGGAATTCTGGGAGCTGAAGTCCTCACCACTTAAAACAAGGCGGCTGGGGAATTCTGGGAACTAAAGTCTTCCTATCTTAAAGTATACGGTCTGGGGAATTCTGGGAGCTGAAGTCCTCACCACTTAAAACAAGGCGGCTGGGGAATTCTGGGAACTAAAGTCTTCCTATCTTAAAGTATACGGTCTGGGGGATTCTGGGAGCTGAAGTCCTCACCACTTAAAACAAGGCGGCTGGGGAATTCTGGGAACTAAAGTCTTCCTATCTTAAAGTATACGGTCTGGGGGATTCTGGGAGTTGATGTCCACCCATCTTAAAAGCACGCTGGGTGAAGATCCTGGATCAGCCTGGAATCACCCCAAAGACACTGCCCCTCAGGCTGACACTGTCTGGGGCTGATGGGAACCGGAGTCCCGCGTAGCTCCGCAAGGCTCGGCAAAGAAAGAATCCTCACCCATCCCC